GCTAAGCGACGGAGAGGATCACAAGGCAGATGTACAGGACGCCAAACAACAGGGAGCAGCGCTTTGCAGGGGGTGGTGGCATCCACGGCTGTCCCCAAAACAGGGATGAGGCCTGCTACTATGGCTGCCATTGTCACTTTTGTTGTTCAAATAACAGCAGGGGAGCTGGAAAGAACAAAACACTCGTGCTGACATTGGAACTACACATTTACATTCGTGACAGATCAGTTCAGCTTTGAATGCAGATCATGATAAATCTTTATCTGTCGTGAATTTCCGCTTTAGTTTTATATAACATTTGTAAAAACACATATATATATAGTTAAAATCAGCTTTTCAGAATAAAATATGAGAAAAGTGATTTTGACTCTAAATTCTATCATTTTCTCTGCCCTGTAAAATCAATGCATCTTAAAAGGAAATACATGTATAATTTGAATGCAAAAGAAATCTCTGGCAGTTCACGTTTACCCAACAGGACTCCAACAACTTCCACCGGATGCTTTATGTCATATATACCTGTCTTTGATTATAAAGAAGCATTAAGCATAAAAGCCGTCCTTGTAAACATCGTTAAATGTCACAGAAAATGCATACAGCTCCGTCTGTGCGTCTGAACCTTACCGTGTTTCAAGGAGACATATGCAACACTCCAGAGGTTACCTTTAAGAGTAGCAGCCCGCTAATGGAACACAACCGCTTTCACTTTGCATTCAGTCTTTTATGTGTTCGAAAAAAAAAGTGTCATCATCAGATGTACGTGTTACAGCTTCTCACCAAATTATGCGTCTGCACATCTCCCTCCTCAGCAATAAAGAAAAATGCAAAATACAAGTTTCACAAGAACAGAAAAGGGGGAAAAAATCATCGAACATTACCAGTTTTTACACATTTTATTGGTATAAAACTGTAATTCATTTGATTTATTATTCTGTAATGTCACTGACTTGTTTCTTACTTGACATTTTTATAACAATCAGACAATACTAATAATTACACAGCTACAAATTGTTCATTTCAACAAAATGTAGATTGAAAGTATGCAAAAAATAATAATTAAGACAAGCTGCAGTTAAAGACGTAGTATAAAGACATGTTTACCTTAAAGGTATTGATTAGTTTGATGATTTACAGTGATTGGTTTATAGTGTGTGTTTGCCACACTGAACTGTTATGAAGATATTACAACAGATAAAGACAATTTCATAGAGTGCAATACTCATAGTAAAGTACATATTTTAAAACAGTCATATGAAACATTTCTCATATATATGTAACGGCAGTATAAAACAATGGCCGACTGCTAACAGCTCACATGAAACAGACTCTATGTAGAACTTTTTAAAGGTTATTTTGAAAAAATCTGACCCATCATCTAAAAAGATTGAAGGACGCCGGCTAAAAATTAAAATAACAAAATGTTAAAAAAGTTTAAAGTCCCTCTTCTTTGACTAAGTACTCTGGAAGAGTCTGAAAAGCGGTCACAGGAACGGTCACTGGAACGGTCAGAGATATGGCGCTGGGTTCCACGGTGGAGGGAGAGACCTCGCTGGGGGGAGGAGGAGAGGGGAGAGGGTCCGTGTGAATAATGTTTATGTCGCTGAGCTGTGTGGCTGCTGCTGCATGAGTCCGTAAGTGCTTGCGAAGGTAGGCGGCGAACAGAAAAGCTTTGCCACAGTGGGGGCAGCTGTGAGGTTTGCTGGTGGAGTGGATCTTCTGGTGTTTACGCAGTCCAGATTTGTTAAGGAAGCCTTTGCCACAGCTGCTGCAGACATGTGGCCTCGGCTTGGGATGCTGCTTCTCGTGCTCCTGCAAATCTGCCAGCTGCGCAAACTCTGCATGGCAGGTTTCACAGACGTGCGATCCCAAGGGCACAATTTTGGTGATAGATGAAGGAGCAGAGTCAATGGAGTGAAGATTTTCGTGGGCCTGAACTTCATCCCAGGTACCAAATGTAGCATCACAGTGTGTACAGGAGAACTGAGGGAGGGTTGTGTGGGCAGTGAAGCCTGAGGCTGATCCAGCCTCCGTCTCCTGTTGTTGTTGCTGTTGTTGTTGTTGTTGTTGTTGTTGTTGCTGCTGCTGCTGCTCAGACTGCTCAGCTAGATGAGTTCTTTCATGTTTGCGCAGGCTTGAGGATACAACAAATGATTTCAGACACTCCTCACATTTGAAGGGCCTCTCTCCAGAGTGCACACGGCGGTGCTTGTTGAGGCTGGAGCGCTCAGCAAACGACTTGTCACACTCAGTGCATGAAAAGGGCCTCAGACCGGTGTGGACGAGCATGTGACGCCGCAGATCCCAGGATGCAACGAAGGCCTTGTCGCAGCTCTGGCATTTGTAGGGTCGCTCTCCAGAGTGAACGCGTTCGTGCACGGCCAGATCAGCCGGCTGCCGGAACCTCTTGGAGCACTTATCGCAGGGATAAGGCTTGAAACCCAGGTGAGCCCGCTGGTGGCGGCGAAAGCTGGACGGGTCGGAAAACATCTTGCCACACTGTGGGCAGAGGAACGGCTTCTCACCGGAGTGAGTGCGGAGATGAGACTGGTAGGAGGACAGCTGAGTGAAGCCTTTGCCGCACTGCTCGCACTGATACGGTTTATTCTGGGAGTGAATGCGTTGATGGCAGGCGAGAGAGGAGGAGCGTGAGAAAGCCTTGCCACAGTCTGAGCACAGGTACGGTTTCTCTCCTGTGTGGGAGCGCTCATGGTTTTTCAGGTCCTTCAGTTCTGTGTATGTTTTTCCACACTCGTCGCAGGCGTACGGCCGATGTCCCTGGTGGTTCCTCCTGTGTTTTCGGAACACCGAGGGATCGGCGAAACTCTTCCCGCACTCGGCACAGAAGTACGGTTTCTCTCCGGTGTGCGAGCGCATGTGCACCTTCAGCTTGGACAGCGTGGGGTAGCTCTTAGAGCACTGGCGGCAAGAGTAAGGACGCTCCCCACTGTGCTGTGTCATGTGGATCCTCAGGCATATAGCCTGCATGAAGGCTTTACCACACTCTGTGCATACAAAAGGTTTCTCTCCAGTGTGAGAGCGGCTATGATTGCGTAGTTCTGTGGGTGTCTTGTACGCCTTGTGACAGTCAGGACACTGGAAGGGGCGCTGGGCCGAGTGAGTGCGCTCATGCTTTGAGAGTTGAGCCTTGCTTGAGAATGTCTTACTGCACTCAGAGCAAGGGTGCTGCTGCTGACGTTCCTTCGCATGTGCTGAGAGCTTGTGGCTCCGCAGAGCTGACAGACTCTTGAAAGCCTCTGTGCAAGCAGAGCATTTGAAGAGGGACTTGGCTTTTGGAGGCCTGCCTCTGCCGCGCTTTTTCGCAGGCTGATCCCTCGCCACTTCTTCATCATGTTGACTCTCTTCATCCTCCTGCGCAGGAGGGGTGTATTGCTCTGCAAGAGGTGGACTGCCAGGCTGAGGAGAGGCCATCTTAATATCTGAAAAGAGATTTAAAAAAAAAAAAAAAAAGACACCTTTGTAATAACTATTTAAATAAGCAGATCACTAGTAGCAGCATTATATTGTTCCACAGTCATTAAGCTAAAGTCGTTTGACAGTTATGAATGTGCAGAGCAGATCTTCAGTGACTGAGGATGATGATGAACCAGAAAAAAATCAGAATAATCCAGTCACATAAGAACAGAAATATGTGGGTGTGCATTTAATCACAAAATGGCTGGCATTAGGACCTCAGGGACAATAAGCTAACCGCTTTGATGCCAGAGGAAGTTGCCGATGCAATGTCAGGGATCACAGTGCTTGAATGCCTGACATGTGCCCGAGCGGAGACCCAGATCCTAGATCAGGAGTCAGTGTGATGGTGCTGAGGGCAGCCGGACACGATAAGTACGTATTCCTTTTTGCTAGCTTGCTCGCTAAACATTTTTACTAACTCAAAATGGCTGGCTTTAGGACCGGCTGCAGCAATTCACTCGACAGTGTCATCACCATCATGACATATACGGGACGGATTTGGCTAAAATCAGTGCAGTAGAGAAGAAAAGGTGGTTCTTACCGCAGTCGGGGCATTAATAGTTGGTCCACAATGTCAGGGTACACGGCTGCGTTTACTGTGAGACGCGGTGATTGCTGTTGACTGGCTGCAGGATGGGGGACGGCTCTAGGACCATGATGACGACAGCTCTCGGCAAGCCAAGTGTGCAACAATTTAATACGTTTAAAATGTAAAATATCATCATAGGGCAATTATTAAAAATAAAAAAACACTGTTAAAACCAGATAGTATTTAATAAAGTTAGCGGGTTATCTGTCATACTGGAAAAATAGTTGCTGCGCAGATAATCTTCAGCGTTTATAACTCAAAGGCAGAGCTAGCAACGCAAGCTAAGCTAGCTGTCTGAAGCCGCCGATGTAAGTTACTTCACGTGTTTTCTAGAAGCCAGCAGCGGCGTTTTAACATAAACGCGTAAGTTGTTGCTTTTTACTTGCTTTCACTTTCTGTTGTTTTGATTATTTAACCGCCACGTATGGTGAGGTTAGCAGCTTCACCCCGCCGAGTTGCTTCTCAGAGGGAAGTATTTCTCTGCTGCACATTTCCTGTTTCCTAGCAACAAGAGCAATGTGGAAATGGGGATGGAAGAAAAAAAGACAATTGGAAAAAAGGGGATTGCCCTTTACATAAAGATAACGTTTTAGAAATAATGAATGAAGAATTATCGTCGGGGCTTGCATGGAATCGGTGCCGCTTCAGGTATTGAAATATACGCATGTGCTGACGCTGTAATTCCGCATTTTAAGCGACTTATTGGCGTTTTGGTGCAATGTTTGTTTAGCTAGCCATGATGCTGCTAGCTGGTAGCTCGCCAACGTTAGCTAACTGTTCTTCTTCGAAATGAACACGTCGCTCTTCCTGAAAGCCTAATGAGGGCACGTGTGTTCATTGTGGTTTTGTTTATAATCCTGGAGACTTTTGTGTTTGCTGTGGCGACGCATTTGTAGTGAGAGAGGCGTTGCTCTCTCGGTTTATTGACATAGCGAGTTCAGTTAGCCTGCTGGTGCAGAGATGTAGCAAAACACGTTGGGCTGTTTCTTGCTAGCTAATAAGTCAGTGCTTGATGGTGGCTATCTAACATACAATGAAACCTTTTTCCCTCTAAAATGTATTTACTCTGACTGACTTAGATGAAGGATCAACAAAAAATATGGGATATTTACTGTTGTTACAGAACTTAAACGGGTCCAGCTTACGTTAGCTATTTTTTATTGTGATGATCAAAGAGCAAACTAAATCTATGAAGCTCATTTCTTGGATAAACGTAAAAAGTTATCTGCAGCATCGTATAATGTATAGAATACTTACTGCATGAAGCTGAATACTGATTCATACATTGTTAATGTGTTGACCACAGCTCTAACTGGCGTCTCTTTTGTCCTCAACAGCTCACTTTGCCTGCTTTCCCCAAACTCAAGTCCCTTTGTGTGGATGTGGTTGTCAACATTTTAAGTGGGGTTGCTGCCCTGGACATTCCTTGGAGCTTATTGAAAAGAACTGATTTCTTTTTATAAGGACAAGAAAGGCATCTAATGCATTTCTGTCCTGCATACTCACACGCATTGTGTCTGGTGCACTTCATTCAATCATTGTCTTGCAATGGCAATGCAAGATTCTGGCAGGGCAACGGGGTTTCCCTGCAAACAGTGTGGCATGGTATGTCACAATATGCCCGATCTGCTGGAACATATGGACGCTCATTTGCAAGAAGAGGAAGAACGCAAATATAAATGTGATGAATGCGGACGGGGCTATAGGCATGCTGGTAGCCTGGCTAACCACAAGAAGACTCACGAAGTGGGTTCTTTTCAGTGTAACATATGTGGTAAAGAAAATTCGAATGCTTTGGCCCTCAAGAGTCATCTCCGGAGCCACACTTCCCTAAAAAAGTACTCTTGTGCTGAATGTGGAAAATCTTTTCGTCTGGCAACACAGCTGGCTACACATGAGAGGGTTCATGTGTTCAGGCGAGGGAAGAAGCAGTCATATAGGAAGGCAGACGTGGAATTTTCCACACATGAAGATGAAAGTGAAGTTGAAAATGATCATCCACATCATCTTAATGAGCAGTCAGCCAGTGTTGGTAGTTCTACAGAAAATAGCCCATCTGAGGACAAGACAGAGGCTACATATAATGAAAGCAGTGATGATGCAGCAGGGCGACCATTCAGATGTGATATATGTGACAAATCATACATTCACCATCGAAGTCTGACGAATCATAAAAAGACTCACCAGGTGGGAATGTTTGAGTGCACAGTGTGTTTCAAGCTCTTCAACAACATGGCTGCCCTCTACAGCCACCAGAGAACTCATAAGACAAGAAGCGGGACAGACCTCAATTCGCCTGCTGAGTCGTACACAGACACACCAGTGGACCAGTTTTCACCTCAGAGCCAGGATGCTCCAGTAAACTTTTGTCATTTGTGTCAGGTACTTTTCCCCAACAACCATGAGTTTGAGGAACACATTCAAATGCACAACTCTTCATCTCTGTCATTTGGGCTTCAAGATACATTGTCAGAGAACCACAGTGTATCATATGACAACAGTATTGCTTCACCTGAGTCAAATTTTTATGCATCTCCCATAAACAATATGTCTTCAGTGTCATCGATAGATAATCACGGAGGCTTTGATCCCCCACAAGAGAAGATGAGAAGCAATGGCCATATGTACTCAGAATGCTCCAGTAATCAAACTCCATCTTCCAACAGCACTCAGGGAGAACACACAAACACTCTCAGTCCTACCCTGATGCCTGCACAAAGTACTGGCAATGCAACTGAAACAGAAGAGACTTCAACTGTAGATTCTGATGAGCGTCCCTTCAAGTGTCAGATCTGTGGCAAAAGCTACAGGCACTCTGGGAGCCTCATCAACCACAAAAGGTCACATCAGGTCGGGATTTACCAGTGCTCCATATGCAGAAAGAGTTATCCTCACCTCGCCGCCCTCAAAAGTCATCTACGTCTCCACAAAGCTCAGCCGTCATCTTATCACCTCAACTCTGAGGGAGACTGGCTCTCTTCAGAGCCTCTGACTCTGGACAACCAGCAGGGCTGCTTCTCCTCCCAAGATGATGAGGAGGAGGAAGAGGACAATGATCACCCTGCACTTGGTTTGGATCAAGAGAATGGACTTGACCACAGCAATGGAGAGCTGTATCATGAGCAGTTTAATCAGGACTTTTCCCAGGATATGACTGTGCATCTACCTCACAACGAACACATGATGCAAAGGCACATGTGTGCAGACTGTGGTGAGACGTTTGCAGATATTGCAGGGATTAAGTCTCACAGCTGCCCACTGCTACAGCAGCAACATAACACTACTGGTGGTGACTATGACAGCAGTTTAAACCTCCAAGCCAGTAATGGTCTCGGTGCCATTGTGAATCCAGGAAGTGATGTAGAGTATGTTGTTAATGGTAGCCACGACCAAAGTTACTTTGAGCAGAATTTCCATGAAAATGTGAGCAATGATCAGCTGAATGAGGACAGAGACGACGATGACACCGATGAGGAAGATGATGATGGAGATCTGTATCAGTGCTCTATATGTGGCAACAGCTACACCAGCATGAGGGCTCTCAGGAGTCATCTCCGAGGACACACACAGTCACATGGTACTCCTGCAAGCTCAGGGCCTTCTTCAATGTCCTCCCATGAAGAAGTGAAAGATGAAGATCCAGGTGAGATGATGATCTGTAGTACATGTGGGGAAAGTTTTGCTAATAGGCAGGACTTGGTGAATCATCAGCTTCTACACAACAAGGACCAGGTGGACAACATGAACCATTTACATATGAGCAGTGATGTTTCTGAAAGCAAGGAGGAAACCGAGAGTATCATCTGTGGCACCTGTGGCATCTTCTGTACTAGTTACCACCATCTTTCAAACCATGACTGCACAGCCGAGAGGAAAGAGGAGATGGAACCCAGTAAAGAGGACGTGAAAGTAAATGACATAACCCAGCATGAAGACACGAGTCTCATCAGAGAAACTGTTGATACTGGGGATCGTCAGTACAAATGCGATCAGTGTGGGCGCTCATACAGACACGCTGGCTCCCTCCTCAACCATAAAAAGTCCCACAAAACAGGTGTGTTCAGATGTCTCGTCTGCCAGAAACGCTTCTACAACCTGTTGGCCCTTAAGAACCATCAGAGGTCCCACTTCGATATTAAAAGGTCAGTTCGAACACAAATACACATCATTAGTACATGTGAAATTTTTTATATTTTATAGACATGTTGCAAATTATTAATGATTGTTGGCAAAAAGAAAAAAATATATATATTTTTTAATGTTGTTTGATTCACAGTTATGTTTTGCCATCATGGCTTTGCTCCCTGTGTAGACTGTTCCCTGTTTTGCAAACACAAATTTAACTATATGCCTCGTCTCCTCCCCCAGGCATACTTGCCATGAGTGTGGGAAAGCCTTCAAAATCCAGAAGCAGCTTTTGAATCACCTGCGAAGGCACAAAGAGAACCAAGCCAAAATCCAGGAACTTAACAACCAGATCCAGGCCCTCATGCAGATGAATGGGACCAGGTCAGCTGGAGGAATGCAGTCCTTAACTTCAAATGCCAATCAGGCTTTTACACCTACTCGGCACTGCAAGCAACTGGCTGAAGGAAAGGCAGTGCAAACAAATTTGGAGACCTCAGTGAAATCAGAGGACACAGACGAGCAGCGGCCTTTTGCATGTGACCAGTGTGGGCGTACGTATCGCCACGCAGGAAGTTTAGTCAACCACAGAAACTCACATAAAACAGGTGAATATTACTGCTCTGTTTGTAACAACACTTACTCGAATCAGTTAGCAATGAAGAACCACATGCGCACCCACTTTGCGTTTAAAAAACACTCTTGCCAAAACTGTGGAAAAGGTTTTAGAGGAAAGAAGCAGCTATTAGCTCATGTCTGCGCAGACCTCAGAAAGGATGGGGCCAGAGCCAGGAGAGCCCTAAAGTCTCGAGCCTTTAAGTGTAAGGAATGTAAGCAGGCCTTTCCCTCAGTCGACCAACTGGCAGCCCACACCTGTGATGGGCCTTCAGGCAGCAGGGATGCACAATCAAACACATCTCCAAGCAAAGAGGAGCGGCCCTTCACGTGCAACATATGTAATCGCAGCTACCGCCATGCAGGCTCGCTGTTAAACCACAAAAACACCCACAAGACAGGACACTTCAGTTGCAGCTTCTGCTCGAAGCCCTTCACTAACCCCATGGCTTTACGCAATCACACTCGCATACACACACAGAAGAAAAAGTATGTGTGCCTCACATGTGGCAAGGCCTTTCGCCTCGCCAGCATCCTACACAACCACCAGAGGGTCCACAGTCGGGTGGTGAGTCACTTCAGCTGTCCTGCGTGTGGAAAGAGCTTCCAGGGCAGGTCTGGCCTGAAGAGGCACCGCTGCCACAGAGGTCAGGAGAACGCCACACGATCTGGGGTGCAGCCGTCAGACAGAGGAGACAAGTGCTTCATGTGAGTCTTTTTGCCTTATTTGTTTTCCAAATTTGCAATACCTGCATTTACGTTGGCTTTTAAGTGACTAGAATTTGTATTACAGAAATGCTTGATATATGTTTACACCAGCTTGAAAACAGTGCCACCATTACATATTTTATTACAGAGAGAAATTAGTTTTTCATCTCTCTCCGTACATATTAGCCACTGATAGTTTTATAAATCATTGTTTTAAATGATGGGAGTTGCAGTGTCCAACTGGGACTGACTATGAGCTTGTCCCTGCTGCAGGTGTGACCTGTGTGGCCGCTCCTACCGCCACGCTGGCTCCCTCCTCAACCACAAAAAGACCCACTCCGACAACCTCCACCACTGCACCTTGTGTCTCCAGACATTTCCCGACCCTCTCACCCTGCAGATACACTCCCAGATGAGGCGTCACTGCTGCCCCGAGTGCGGCAAGACCTTCTGTCTGGTCGCACACCTGCAGAGCCACATGGAGGTGCACTCGAAGGACCGCACTGCTGTGGTCTGCAGCCTCTGCCAGCAGAGCTTTCCCAACACGGCCAGCTACCAGGAGCACCACGACATGCACCACGCGGCTCAGGGCCCCTATCAGCAAAGCGAACCCATACATAACACCCTCTGCTGGGACTCAGGAATAGATCAGTCTCTGGGGATGGGTGGGGTGCACAACCAGGTTCCACCTCCTTTGTCCCATATTCCAGAAAGCATCGCTAATTCACAGAAGAGTAACGACATTTCCGCCACAGAGGAGAAGGGCCACGTCTGCGAGCACTGCGGCCGAACTTACCGCCACGCCGGCTCCCTCCTCAACCACAAGAACAGCCACAAAACAGGCTCCTTCTTCTGCTCCGTCTGCCAGAAGGAGTTCACCAACCTGATGGCTCTCAAGAACCACCGACGCATCCACACGGAGCCCAAGCGCTACCAGTGCCTGGAGTGTGGAAAGGCGTTCCGTGTGTCCACTCAGCTCATATGCCACCGAAGGATACACACCAAAGAGAAGCCCTTCGCCTGCATGCTGTGCGACAAGAGCTTTTCCAGCAAGTCCAACCTGAGGCACCATCAGAAGATGCACCAGAGCAACCAGACTTACGACTCTTCATTTAGCATGGATGCTAATGCATTTATGGACCTGGACATGGGCTCTTTCCTTTGAAGAAGTACTACAGAGCATACAGGAGAGAAGGACACGTGGTCCTGTCAGTTATTTATCCCTCTATCAATAATTGTAAAACAGTATTTTTGTTTTTTCAGAAAGTGCTCCTTGGTCCTGACAGAAGCTCCTTTTGAAGAGATGCACATTTCATTACTGACTTCCAGTCTTACCTCCACAACAGATGGAGACGTCACTGAAAAAAAGTCTCCTGAGGGTTCAGCGGTCAGCTTTTAATAAAGCCTGAATGTTTTCCACGAACACACAGGATCCCCGAAAAACAGTGCAGGCGATGAAAACATTAATCTCTGTGCATTCCTCAACGACAAACCAACCAACCAAAGTGACCAGAGAAGTGCAGCGCAGGTCCACTCCAGAACATTAACGCTGATTTCATGTTTTTGTAAGACAGTACTGTTCTAACTCTTGCTATGTATAATTGTGTTCAGTGCCTCTGTAAGTTCCTTAGGAAACAAAATATACAAACTATATTTATCTCCGAATCCTTTTGTTAACTTTGCCGTCAGTGTTGAAGGACTGCTCACCTTCTGTTGGGATTTCAAATAGGGCAAGCCTGTTATTTTTCAAATACCTCTGGGTGTGTACGAAGGTCAGTGGCAAAGTTTCTAAAACCATATTATCAAGTAAATAGGTGTACTGCTAATAATATTCGAGTTCACGCTGAGTGACATTGTATGCTAAAATGGATGTATTTATTAATTTATTCCTGTTGATTTTTTGTGCATATTTTATTAGAAAAACTTTCTATGAATGTTGTTAAAAAAAACAAACAAAAAAAAAAACCTGTCTTCTAAAACTCATAGATAGATAGATAGATACTTTATTCATCTCCAAGAGAAATTTACAGATGTAGCCTTTAAGGAACTCCTCATCAGTTGATTTGTAACTCGTTAGCTCTCAGTTACAACGGGCAGAGAAAAGAAGGAGCCGAGGACGGTGTGTGTTACTGGCGGCACTCAGGTCAAACCTTCAAAAGGAACATACCTGACGTGTGAAGCGGTTTCTGAACTGAGCTTTTTTTGTTTGTTTGTTTGTTCCCAGTCGTGCCATTTCAACACTTTTTTTTTTAATGATTTAGGTCATGTTACGGTTGTTAGAGTCACTCAACATTTAGCTGCAGCTCCACCGGCTGTGCACGCTGTAATCCATCTCAAACCTTTTGAGGAGCATCAGTTACGTTGAAGTGCCAGTGCCTAAGATGTAAGTCGATTGTAGCAGTTTAATGTGAACAAACCTCCTCTCCTCACTGAACTTTTCATACTGTAAACCATTGATTTTATGCTGTTTTGGGTTTTTTTTCCCCTCTAATTTATCTCCACATCTGTGCATCTCGTCGATCACAAACAGCAAAAACGTCTTAAAGCAGTCGATAAAAACATCGGTGACATGAAAGCGGTTCCTTTTTGCTTTTTGTTTCCCTCTGAAATGCTCTAAATGAATCACACAAGTATAGATGTGGCAAAAAAAAAGCCTCATTTCTGCCAAGCACAGACATAACAGATCTTTATTTACAAGGACAAACCAGCTTCGTCTTCACCGTACAAGTTCATGAGCCACTTCATTCTGTGTGAAAAATGTGCAATTATTGATTCTCGGGTTTATTTTTTGTTTAACGTGCCTGTCGTCCCTTCAGTGGTTTCTTTTCACAAATCAGAAATCATGGCCTTTGTTTTTATAACAATCCAAGAATTCTTTTTTTTTTTTGTTCATGCTTTAGACATTTGTGTTTCATGTATGAATATGTTTGGCACTGGTCAGAAGTATGAAATACCTCGAAAGCCCTGCCTACCTAACAACTGCTACTTAATGCCTCATGCAGCTTAATTGTAGAGAATACACTGTAATCACACAAACTCAGTTATATTGTAAAACGCATAGGAAGGGTGAAGCATCGGGTTTTAAGGTTCTTACTTTGTAATCCGCGGAGGCCTCTGTAACGCGGTTGCAGTTTGTTGTTTTCAGATTTATATTTGCACACATGTAGATGACACTTGTAGCCTAAGGAGGACAGAAAGTCTATAATAACTCAGCCTGCCGTTGCTCGTCGCCGCGTCGACGAGCATCAAGCCGGCTGCTCGATAATTCACCTCAGCTAGTTTTGCGGGTTGTAACATATTAAAGCAATATGCTCAAAGTATCGTTTAGGTGCATGATCGGAGTACATCTCATTTGTTTAGTCTTACATCGAGTGCGAGAAACCATCCGTGTGCCACGTTTGTTATTTCAAATCTTGTGTTTTGAATTCACTGGAACATATTTTCTTATGCCATGCTAACCTGTGAAAAAAAAAAACACACACATGCACATTGGAGTTAAAACGGACTTATTTTTGTACAATGTTCTCTTCTCCTTCGGCACTTAACACTCCTCCCGTCATCGGTCACTATCACAGCCTGATATTGTGTTTTAACCTCAGAGTTCTGTAAATATTGGAATGAAAGTGTTTGGTTGGATCTCTGTACATTTGGATTGGCGGCAAGATTTTCTTCTGCTGGAGAAAACTGCTAGATTAGCTATTGTGTAATAATAATAATAATAATAAACAAAAAAAAAGCATATAACACACGTTCTGATTTCTTGGATTTCCAGCGCTCTGAAGTATCTGCCTAATATTTAATTCATATTTATATAACTATTTTGTCACTCTGAAGCGTAGATTTTTACTTCTTTGTTAGAATTTAGTTCAGAATTTAAGAATATTATTTAAAAAATAGTTGAAATTAATTAAAAGACTTGGAAAACACAGTGTGTTTGTTTCATATTTTCCCCGTATGCTATTTTTTTTTTATTATTGAGATGCAGAAGTTGAAGCAGCTTTTGTAGCAACACTTGCAGCACTCATGAAAGTTGTCAGTTTTATTGTGAAAATACATTTGCTACACAAAGCAGTTTATAAGAAAAGAAGCCAGTGCATGTACAGTAAATACAAAAAAAAGGAAATAGAAGGCAAAGAGAGATAAGCATAGAAATGTTAGTTATTGCTCAGTAACATCGATGGCTGGCCTGGTGGAAGTTTAAAACAAAATCTTCACTGGAGTCCCTTTAAAAAAAAAAATGTGCTTGTTCCTCACAGTTGACACTGCAAGATACTTAAAAATAAATAATATAAACATCTACAAGGAAAAAAGTATCTGTATGATAGATGATTCCCCGATTTGGAGGAAGAGGACAAGCAGACAGATCAAAAACACGACCCGAAACTTTGTCAGGGACAAAACATCACAAGAGTTCTGAGGACCCATGTGTTGAATGGTGGCAGTTTGATGAAGGAAAAAACACTCTACAAGAAAAGTGGAAAACAACAACCCTGTCCACCGTGGTTCTCGATGGTTCCGGTTGAAATTACAAACAGACTCCACAATCGCAAAACATGCTTTTGTTGTGGCTCGAAAAAAAAAAAAAAAAGATCCTCGCAGGTCCGACTCAGCGAGCAGCGCGAAGCTCCACCTAAAACACTGTCGGTGTCTGTAATTTTCTTCACTACAGTACATTCCTCGCAACATTCCCACGTGTTAGCAGTTTGGGATCGTGAGTCTAGTGTTTCAAGCATCCTGTCCTGCGAGCGCTCGGACGGCGTTGTGAATTCAGAGGGGGGGGATCGGAACAGACGAAACTCCTAAAACTTAGTAACACGAAAAAAAAAACAGACAAGACAATATTGTAAAGACCTGCAGTGAGCGGTCCGTGTTGGTCTCAGGAAACCTGGTAACAGTGCATGAGTACGGTTTGCTCCCTTAATCAACAGCTTTATCGGGCTACTAAAAGAACAGGTACATGGAGGTACTGGCAAGGCTGGAATACATTTCACCTAGAAGTAGCTACATTCAAATGGCCTTAATGTGCCAAACAGTATGTCTTACTCACATGTGATTTATCTTTCAGAGGCTGTTGTTGTAAATGACCAGCACGTAGACCCCGTCTAACCCCGCTGAATAGCAGGGGCTCAAACTGCAGCCCAGCTGGCGGCTGTAGCTGTGTTACATTCACTGGAGTCCTGCTGGAAAACAGCACAATACAGGAGCTTGGACTGTATCAGATTTTTTGAATCAAACATCCGAAAAACCCGCAAAGGTCTTCCAGATCAAAATGGATTGGAGTATAAAGGCACACGGTTTCTAAAGATGATACCACTAGTATAATGCTGTTACTATTCCTACAGCGGTGGGAGAGTGGCTCTCTGCAAGTCCCGTGGTCACGGCTGAGCCCACGGTGAGAACTGAACCCGTCTCTCCACCGAACAGTCTAATAAATTAAAACGGTCCAATTGTGGCCGGGGTTCACCCTGCAGTCAGAGTCTACAGTTCATCGTCCAGAGGTTCCTCCGCCTGGCTCGTAATCAGTCGCTCCGCGGTTCTGTCACATCTGTTTCCAGAAGAAGATGAGGCTGTGGGGGCCGTGACAGGGATTTCAGTTACATCATGCTCAAGTATTCACATTTAAAATTAGAGTCACATTTGTAACAATCAGTGTGTTATGATTAGTGTCAGACCGGTTTGGACTGTTTAGTTTCTTGGATCGAAGCTGCTGATGCTTGATTTGAAGTGGTTATTTATTAAGACCAAGGCATTTCTTGTGATTAACTACAAAAAAACTACTTAAATGCACTCGCTTTTTACAAACAACAACCAACAGCTACTTTTTTTTGTTCATTTTTAGAATGTAAATTTGTGGGAGGGTTTCTTTTTAATCTGATGAACTCGTCTGATGTGAATAATTGTCTTTTCCCAAAACATTTTAAGAATATCATGGATTCAGTTTTCATTTGAAATGTCATCTGTCGCCTCCGTGCAACAGCATGAAAACACTTAAACACACTAGAATCAGCTCTGTGTAGGTTAATGTGTGTCACTGATGTTCTAACACACTTCAAAAAACTGAACCGTGTTGCCAGATGGAGGAACGTTACAGCATTGTACCTGTAAATGATTTTTAGTAAAATTATAGAACGTGAGTCATAACAAAGAGAGCAAATGGGTGTAAATGTGTAATTGTAGGAAAAAAAATGCATTTATTGAGATGCCCTTTGACACTGCCTACAAACTGAGCCACGTTGTTTAAAAATAAATTGACCCTCTGAACCTCAAGCAGTTTCTGAGTTGTTGTTGTTGTTGTTGTTGTTGTTGTTGTGATATTTTCATCTCTGTGGGCTCATTTTTCCATTTTTCACGATAATAAGCACCTCTATGGAAACAGCACAATCATGGCTAGAAATAGAAAGAACCCAAAAATGTGTTTTGTGCAGCACAACAAAGATAAATCATGAAAAAAAGAAAAACGGAACATTTCATTTTTACAGATTATTTATTTTACAAACATTTCTAAAAGTTGGAATCAACATGTACAACAAAAATAGTGACTCTTTTGCTATATCTCTTCCATTACTTCCATCTTTAAGTTGTTTCCATGCATGTCTCCTGTCTGCTCTGCGTAAACACAGCCTGCAGTTCAGCTGAATTTTAAAAAAGATTTATTTTATTGTGACTGTTGGTTGTAACTGAGTCACTAAGAGCTTCGTGGTTGTGCCAGGAAGTGCACAAGTTTTTGTTTTTGACGAAATTTGGTTTGATCAAACTGATTTTTAAATGAGAAACAGAATAAAATGAATGATGGATGGATGGATTTGGAGCTGCTCATCACACATGATCAGTTCAAGAACCACCAGAAAGTTTTTTATTTTTTTAGATTTGCTCTGATAAATGGTGCAATTAAAGAGTTTTTGTTGTTGTTTTAAAAGATGACAAGCCTCTTGGGGTTCAGAGGGTCAAGTCAAATCAAGCTTTCCAACTGATCAGCTTTTCATTCAGATTCATATATTAGTCAATCCTTATTCTGACGAAGTGAAAGCGATACTCACTGAGCTGTTTAAGCTTGATAAAGTGGCCCCGCCGTTTCTTCAATGGGTTCTGTAAAGAAATCAAGAAAAAACATTAACCATTTTCCCATCCCCAAAGCGATCGCTTTCCTAAATTGCCCGTAATAAACCTTTTTCCCATCGCGCATCTGTCATCGTAGGACAGCACAGGTGTTCCTAATAACATCACTGACAGCTTCTGTTATTCATTATTACCGAGTCCCTGACAACACACAGACAAATCAACTTCAGCCATCAATAATGTAATTGTATACATCTGTGTTTTTCCTGCCGTGACGCCTTAAAGTAGCTTCGATGAAAAAGAGCCTGTCGTTTCTCAATACCGGTGAACAGTCAGCAAGTTAAGATTCTGTTCTGATGGTTTGTGACACAGCTGCAGAGTCGTCATAGCAAATAAAAAAAGGAAAAAAGAAAAAAAAGCACAGCACACAGTGTGCTCACATTTAACAAGAACTACTTTACACCAGGGACACTAAACAATTTTTAGAGAATTACTTAACCCCAGAGTAGTCCCTGAAATTCACAAATCATCCCAGTTAGCAGTGAATGCAACACAAATAGAGTTTCTTACTCCAGTGTTGTCACAGAAATCAGGTTTACATTCTGTCACGTCTGATACATTCATGTCAAAACTCTTTACAACAAAAGCACCCATACAGTAAGGCGTGGAGGAAAAATTGTGTCATATCACAGAAGATCCATCCTTCTTGCAGGTCTTACCACGTAGAGGTCGTTTGTGTGATTTGCGTCGATGCACCATGACCCCGATGATCAACGCAGCACCAACCAGCACAACAGCCAGCACCGAGAAACTGGTGATAGCCGCCAGTTTCCACACATCAGGCGTCTCCTCGACAGATTTACCTGTTAAATGATAACACATTACAGGACAAGAGGAACTTCAACCACGACACAGAGAGAAAGAGCACCGATGAATTCATGAGTTACAGCTCAGAGGACAGTCACATATGAGTCACAGAGCTGAGCAGAAAACTCAGGGGATTTAATAGCATTTATCACTATTCTGACAGTATTTACAGAATGTTTAAAGACTTTTCTGTTTGTAATATATATCTTTGCTATATGAAAAATCAATGTACTGTCGACTCCAGCTCTGAAATGCATGAGTGCCTTAAACCTGCTGTCTTTCTAACAGCCAGCAGGGGGCGACTCCTCTCATTGCAAACTAGAAGCCACATTGAACAGAAGTCTATGACAAAGTTCCCTGATTTCTCACCAGATTTGTTATCCCAGAAAACATTTTCCTAATGTGTTTATGGCCTCAATGTCTAGTTTCAGGTGTCAATAATTATAGCATGAGGTTCACTGAGTAAATTATGGTCCCATTAGAGTAAATGATAAGTAAGGGTGTTTTTTGGGCATGACTACCTTCTGACTGGCAACCACAGACTGTACATAAAGTGATAATGATATTTAAGTGTAATTAGACTCTTCCTAAATCCCAGCTATTCCAGAAATGAGCAAAGAGGTGGAGAGGGAGTAGAGCAGAGGTGGGTTATTAACAACACTCACCTGTCAAAGCCGTCATGCCTTTAGTTATTTAAAACTTTAAGCCTTAATATAATATAAAAGGTTCATTACATAATAAAGTCGTCCCTCGTACAGTTGTCATAGAAGGAAAAATTAGCTATAGAGACCAAAATCTTGTTTTGGGCAAGGCTGTAAACATGTTTGTTTGTGCTGTAAAGTTGGGCGTTTTAACATGGGGGTCTATGGTGATCGACTCGCTCAAGTGGTCATTCATGGAACTGCAGTTTTGATAACTGACAATATGTCAGTCAAGATAGAGACATAGTAAAGTGTAGGCTGGCACTGTGTACATTTAAAAAGCTAAGTTAATTCTTTCACTCTTGAGCCTTGTGTTTCAGATTTTGTGTTTTTTGTATGACCAGATAAACTAAAGAGTTTTGGGAAACCAATATTCATGAACTGGAAACACACTATGAAAGATTCACTCTACAAAGTCTGTTCTTCAGTTTTTCATTCAGTATATTTAGTTGTTTTTTTTAACCTGTATTTTGCGAGTCACAGTTCAGCTAACTAGTAAGCTAACATTAGCTGATAGCTTAGCATTAGTTGTGTGGTACCTGTTGCTTCTTGTAAAAACACAAGCAAAACTTTGTTGAAAGTATTGAAGGGAAATATAAATATATATAAACATACATGACAAAAAACTTCAGAATCTTGGTTCTCTATATTGAGAAAACGATTCTGGCTACCATCTGTGTTACTATTTTGTCTTTCAGTTGTTAAGAAATCTGAATTTATTCTTTGGAAAATCAGATGCTCAGCTCTGTGGCTGTGGGAGGATGTAACTGTTGTACACGAGAAACACAAACTGAGAGTACTTTACATTAAACCACAGTTAGTTTTCAACAGCTGCAGGTCAACTCTGGTGTGATGTGGTGTCTTACATGTGTTGCAGGATGGAGTCTTTGGGTACTGCTTGCATGAGGCACAGGGAACGCAGACATCCAAGTCTGAGTTCCAAAACTCCGAGCTGCCACACTGACCTGCACACAGAAGAGCAGCTTCTCTTAGTCGTGATAAAAAACATTTTACAGGAAAACATTTTGTCATGATGTGTTAAGTAATAAACACTGTGAGCTTAGAAAATACAATAAAGCAGTGGTGATACTTCTTTTTTTTTTTTTCCACATACATTTGAGGAACTGACTGACTATTCTGAAACCAGTAATTAAATATAAAGAGTTCATTTGCCAAAAACAGATCTTCACAAACCTTCAGAGAACCCACTTTTCCATCGTCTATCTGAGAAGTTATTTTTGTCATGTCATTTCTACTAGAGTCAACTTCAGTTTGATTGATTCTATCTCAAGCAAGCAACAACAAAAAATAGTTTTCTGACAATATGGAGTTCTCTGTTTTTGCAAATGAACTCTTCATATAGGGCCAGTTGACTTGCAGGAGATGTTATTGTGAGATCAGCTGATACGGTGTGAAAAAGATGCTTGACTTTTTCTTTTCTCTTTCTCTTTTCTTTTTACAAAACAAACTTGGGAAATTCCTTCAGGTGCGACCGCTGATGCACACGAACACCATCACTGAGAACCACTGAGTCACCGTGTGCGCATGAACAGGCAGGTCGTACGTGAACGGCAGGATGTGTTCTCACGCCGCGCTTCCTTTGAAATGTTTTGCTGCTGCGTACATGTGCGACTTCCAGAGAATAAAACCCCAAAACGGTGCGTGTGTGAGAGAAAGACGGTTGGCGGTTTAGCTTGGACAGAAAATGTCTCCCTCTGTGGACGTCAACGGAAAGCTTCGTCTCTTTTTACGGCTGCCAGAACAGCTGAACAATTAAAGCAGTGCACTTCCCAGATGATAAGGAAGGGACGAAGATGTGACTGAGTTAAGACCGGCCGGCGGCAGACTGAGTGTAGAGGCTGCTTCAGTGGTTTGATTGTGCGTGTTTTTCTCTGCAGGCTTAACATCCTGGCTTTGGTTAAAAGGCACGAATGCACTGAAACCCCACCGAAGGTCATGTCATGTCAAGCAGAAAGTGGAAAACACAATATCCCAACACAAAGTCAATCAAATACTAAAACAATACCAGACATGACAGCATTGCAGATAATGCAACAAGGAAACAGAGATACTTGATAGATAAAATGACAACAATCCTTCTTCCTTCCCAGCACGTATTTGCATAGAAAAATTCTTTGTCGTCCACAATTTTAACAAGAACAGAGTGAATCATCATTAGTGGTAATTTTCATGCTCAAACCGGCAGCCTTAATCATCACTGACAGTAAAAACAAAACTATCACAGAGGTGAGTCTGACGTAAACCAAAGCGGTTGAACGACCGTGTGGGAAACGGTGTCAACAATACCAGGTAACTAATATTGTGACACTTCAAAAGGTGGTAAAACAGAAACTGCACCGCGCCAGGCAGGATTTGCAGGGAAATGGGTCTGTGGATATGAAGTCAGAAATGAAAATGAACTCTGTGGTACAGAGGACCATCGCATCGCAGCATTTTTAGCCCGTTGTGTATGATTGCGTGTGGAGCTGTGCAGCAGTGACATGCAGTGGTGGTAAGGAAGGAATTCACCGTAAAGGCTCTGCATCACAAGTAAGAGCCCTGCATTCAGAGCCTTATGTTTGTGGATTCCATAAGCAACATGTCAAAGAAAAATAACATAATCATGCTCATTAAGAAAAATGGCCCCTCTGATGTGTTATTATATACAGATATGGTGGTTCTTGATGGAATAATATGTACTGCAAATGTACTGTTGTGGCTCTCAAGCTGGAGCTAGTTTCACAGCTTAATCTAGTGGTTTTCAACATAAGGTTCAGGCCCCTCCAGTGGGTCGCAAAAAAAAAGTCAAAGGTGGAAATATAAGTCGATGACATTACATTCACATTCAGGACTTTCTCTAATCCTTGAGAAATATTTAATAGTTGAGTTGTTTTTTTTCATCAGGTGGTTCCTTTTTTTTTGTTTTTTTTCAGACTTTTTTTTTGTTGTTGTTTGCTTGAGATAAAAATCAATCAAACTTAAGTTGAGTGGATTTGACTCAGTAGAAATGACAACAATAGAGATAACTTAAGTTTGATTGATATTGTCTCAGGTAGATGATGGAAAGGTGGGTTTTCTGAAGGTTTGTGAAGATGGAGTTATCTGTTTTTGCAAATGAACTCCTCAATTTGACAGTTTAATGAGCCTCAAACAATTATATCACAACGAATTAAACAGTCTAGTATTAAAATAGCTGTTTTCCAAAAAATAAAAATTTAATATGTAACTGAATGTATGTTTTGCAAGCTTGAAATCTGAAATATTTAAGTATTTCAGAGGTTCTGAGGCTCTAACAAGAGATGCTGGTGTTTGTTTGCAGTTATAGAAAATGTGAGAAACTTGGAACTAAAATTTGGGATATTTCTGCCTCTGCTGCTAAACCCTATTCAGGACTTTCATGTTGCCATACATAGAAGGTCTTTCGGAGTCCATTGGACCCCAAGAAAGAATATGTGCAAAATATTTGTTGCTATTCGTTATAGACTTTTATACTATGTTAAATAAACTTTCTGATAAGTATTTTTGGTTCCAAATGCATGACAAATGTTCCTCTCCAACAATACCTGTCACCTAAACCAAACGGCCTGGGGTCCGAAAGACCCAAAAGTTCTGAAGCAGGTTAAAGGTCCCATACTGTGCCACTTTTTTTTAGCATTTCATTTAAAGTCTCACATGTCCCCTCAGTGTTTCTTTCACATTTTCAGGAAAGTAAACACCTTCACATCTTAACAGCTTTTATTTTAGATCTCCTGTTTTACAACAACCACAAAACACAGTAACAATGAATTTTCCACATATGGGACCTTTAAATTTCAACTTTCCTCCTCATGAATTCCACATCTTAAAGGAAGTGTAGTACTAAATCGACTGGTCACGTAGCACACGATGGCTCACATCCACTCATGCAAACTGAACCTTACTTGGGAAATAATTTAGATTCACTTGGTTTGACTCATCAGCAACAGCCAGAGGGAATCGAGAGTTAACTCTGAATTCCAGAACTATATGAGTCGTATGAATTCCTCAGCACAGGTCATTATGAAACCAGCTTCAGCCAAAAAAAAGCCACCTGCTCCAAAAGTCATGTTTGAGGCATTTTGACCTGGAACTCTCCGGTTCTATTACAGCCACATGCTCAGGCCCTCAGAGACTCTCCGTCCAGCCAGCCAGCCTGCCTGCAGAGCTGCACTGACTCATTTTACAGCCATGGTCACAGTAAAAATGTGTCACACTCCTTGTAAGCATTTCTCCCGATGATTTCAGCCCTACATCATTCAGCCGGATTCCAGCGGCAGAGTTCAAACAGTTAACTGGAAGGAACTGAACCTTGACTGCTGGTTGACCTCTGCGAGGGAAAAAAAAAAAAAACCCGAAACCTGAGTTGCAGCTTTTGTTGCACACATCAGACAACAACCTGAAACTGCTGATCAACCCCATCCCAATATTTCAACCATGTGCCCTGAGCTGAACTAGAAGATTTAGAAAGAAATTGCTCTTTTCCACATTTATGAATGACTTTTTTACTACCACAGGTGTTTCTTGTGGTTCAGCTTGTAAAAACCTGGTGAGTTTAGAGCCATTTTTCGTCCTCCTTAATCAGAGGACCTTGGCAAGTCAGCACCTAGTCTGACAAAGGGCGTCTTTGGGCGTGGGGGTGCTGTATTTTGTCATGAACTGGAAGGGGGTGGGTGGATCAACAGCTGATGTCCAGATGTAGAGAAAGTTTCACACAGATTGACTTCACATAAAACGTGTTTTGAGTTTACTTCGTTAAAAGTGCATTTGGTCACATTAATGCCGGAGGAAATGGTCTGTAGCCGGTTTAATTATTCAAGATTTTATGTTCTCGGTGCAATCTGAGTCTGGTGTTCTCCACTGGGATGGAGTCCAAACTTCAGAGGGCTGTGGAAACAAAGTCAAAAGCTCTCTCTCTCTCTCTCTCTTGTTGTTGTTTTTTCTGAGACACTAAAAATGAGTCTTTGTGCATAAAGCGGACACAAGCGGTGCACTATTTCCATGTGGCCTGTCCTTTTCACCAAGGGGCACGGAGAGATGGGGTGAAATAAGGCAATCGGAATGCGGAACCGGTGAGAAATGCAGCTGGTAAAGGAAGCGGCTCTGTAAGCACAGCCGCTATCTGACTCCACTAAAAGAGAAGACCACCAGATCCTGACCCATGTTCACAGAAAAAAACAAGGAAACAACCGCTTGTGAATTAAAACTTAGGAGTGAAAACACAAGAATCAACACTGTGTTAAACTAGCTTCTTGACAAATAATTAATTCCACATGAAGGTTTTTTTTTTTTAGAAAAATAAACTTCTCATACTTACTTTTCTGTGCGCTCACGCCGTGGAGACTGGTCACAGCCGCTATAATAAGTCCGCACAGCGCGCAAAGAGCGTTCGAAGCCATGATGTCTGCGCGTAAAAAGCTGCTCGCTGTCGGCTACACAATTCCCGAAAGTTCATCTGATTAACAATCCGTGCTGGTTTTCAGCATGGAAAAGCGAGCATCAGAGTGAGTCATACGGAGGAGTCTGCGCCTTGTTTTAATAGCGCACACACCCACGCTAGCAGTTCAACTCCTATGAGTCATTTCCTATGTACTGTACTGCTCGGATTCTCTGTGCGCACTCCCCGACTCACAGGAAACTCCACGACCATGGCGTGTGGTTTCGTTTGTTTCACTCCGAGTGAAAGTTTCAATTAAACCACCTCAGGTATGAGACTTTCATACACATATTTCATATTTTATAGGCACACCCTGCTCTTTTTTTTTCTTCCTCCTCCCCCCCTCCACATTTTTACGAGTGAGCCCGTGTAGTCTGGACTTAATAGTGTTCTCATTGTTATTACCACGCCTGTCGACGTCATTCCCAGCTCCCTGCCAAAAAACACAACTCTCTGGCAGGAGTTTGGGTCCCATACACAGAAAAAAGAGGAACAGCAACTGAGGCAAAAACAGATGACATTCCCTAGTAAAACTATCTGCTTTTTAAGCCTTTGGGGAAAGCCTGCTGGAAGCAAAAGTGAGATAAGCTTTATCTTACTCCACTTGAATGCCCGCGGCAGAGACTGAAAAACAACACTGATGGTTCTGCTGTTGGAAACTGACATTTGAATAGTGAGCGTCCCTGACGCAGGGTGGTGTTATTAATGTCTGGGGCTGGGTGTAGCCTGCTGCTGCAGCACAAATATGCAATAACAAAGCCTGTGGACGCATGCTTGGAGAGATATCAGGCTGGCCCCTGTCACAGCATTGTCTCATGCATTAATGAGGACCATCAGCTACTCAAACATCTGTGCTCTGTGGCATTAGCAGCATTTAGTTATGACACCTTGTGCACATTTAGAAGAGTTCAACCGCTTCCCCGTTGGTATGAACCAACAAATGACTCCTGCAATATTAATGCCAAATCTTGAGGAAGCTTGAGCGAACGGCTCCCAAATGCCTGCTAAACCTTTTTCACATATTCACTCTGCTTCTCCTCTGCAAGCCTGCAACGTTTTATGTGTGCGTTACATGGTGTGAACTGCCTTTCCCACCAGAGCTAACGTCAAACAGACGCTAACCAACCTCCCAGTAAATAGCTCACATCATCAGATCAGAGGAAAAAAAAGGGTTTCATTGGCTCAATTAGGTTAGAAGCATGTTGTTACACAGATGTTTTTGTACTCGACTGTCACGGCTAACCTTTAGGAAAGCGGTCTAAGAGGACCTGGAGCAGCACAGCCCACTAAGGACACACATATGAGCTGACTTTCCACTGGAGTGATTTCATCAGTAATGAGGCACTATAAGCTGCAGATGTTGTGTCAAACTCTCCAACAGGAACCATGGCAACAGGATGAACACACACAGAGGACCTTGCCCAAGGTGATCCAAACACTCCTGTATGTGCTGACTGGATGCCAAACTAGCTGATGTCTCTCAGGCATTGTTAATACTATAGTCTAACCAAAGACGTAAGACAATTCTGGCTGTCGTACTTCATATATTAGAAACATATTTAGTTTTAAACATGCAATCCTCGAGTCTGCAAAGGATGGCTTCTTTTAATTTTGAAGTTTAAATTTCAGCTTCAATGACTTTACGGGATTTCCAAAACCAGCAGGACAAAACAATTCAGAGAAACACTCCAGGCTGCTCAAACCACATCTCTGCAGTGTTTCAATACATTACAAAAAAAAATAAAAAAAACTTGAAAAGTGGGCCCAGATTGTGAAAAGAGAGGATCTTTTACATTGACAAGAACAGCAAAGACAGGAAAACAGTGCAGAGCAGCTCAATGTGGAAGAATATCACCGTGTGCACAAACAACTGTGTTTATTAACTACACCACAACACTCTCAGTCAGATGTGTCACTATCTGTTTGGTCACCAAATTAATCACCGAATGGCAATGATGTGGTAAAACAAGTCTTTCCAAAGAGATCAAAACGGGGGATACACACGCATCTGATGTCCCCAGAGTGTCTGCCTCTTTGAATAAATCTTCAGTTCCACTGTCTTTCCTCTATTCTTTCCTCTCCTTTGGTTCTGCCTACTATTTTCTCTTTTCGCTCCTCTGTTGCTAAGTGACTTAGGTGATGTAGATGCGGTGAAAGTCGTTGGCTCCAAAGGCACAGTTGCACTTGGGGCACTTTCTCTGTCGGGTGTCGTAGCGCATCTTCAGACATTCGTAGCAGAAAACGTGGAAACACTTGGTGAGCACCGTCTCCTTGTCTCGTGTGTTGCAGCAGGGGCAACGCAGCTTGGCCTGCAGACAGACAAATACATGTCATATGCTGACTTAATGACACTGTTATTACCTCTAGTCATTGCATAACAGCATACCTCACACTTGTAGGGTGTAACAAGCAAGATTTTCTCACGTCTCCGAAGCACAAAGTGACCGTAATAGTTCTGAGGAGGCTTGAGCTCACTTTATGCTCACTTTTTCTGTTCATAACAACCCACGTCAGACTGTGCCTGGAAGCCGTTGGCATTTTTGCAATCCCCTTGACGCTAACAGCTCAGTTGAAGTTAAACTTCCCAGCACATGACGTCTCTTTCTCACCTTGTATTGATTGATTTCCTCCTGTAGGATCTCATCCGCATCAGAGTACACCTCCACCTTCTTCTGTTTCTCCAGCTTCCGTCTCAGTCTGGACAGATCCTCCTAAAAGGTGCGAGGACTGAGTTGTTAGAGCTGCAGCTTAAGATGCAACCACAATAACGTTTTCAAGTACTTTACAAGTACTATCACACCTTGTAAAGGCATTTTTTTTCTATGACCATTCATGTACACCGGCAACAGAGGTTTGGTTGCTTAGTTGTAAGAATTCTATGGAGGAGGAACAACAATGGTAAAGGCAAGTGATTTCTTTGCTTGGACCTTGAAGATCTTGAACTGTTAGAACCGTCGTCTGGCTGTGATGGAGCAGGAAAGGACAAGTAGAGACCGATAAGACGAAATATCCCTGCTTCTCCTCATCCAGACTAAAACGCAACCTTGCTGGATATTTGCAAGGAACAGAGGTCAGCAGCTCCTCTAAAAGTCTCCGTTTTAGGGCTCTAGAACACCAGAGTAGCGTAGATTCTAGGCATAACTCTAGCATTTCAAAACAAAAGCGTATTGGTGAGGACGTAGCCTAAATATATTTAGCAGAAACCTACTGTGATCATCTAATTAGGGGTTACTCGAGTGGATCTGGAGTGATATCCCCCAGTGCTAGAATACAACATACCTGTGCTCGTTTCAGGTTGCTGCTCTCCCTCTCCCGGGCCGTGCGGTTCTCAGCCACAGAGACCTGGATCTCCTTAAGTTTGGCTTGCGTGTGCTCCAGCTGCACCTTCAGGTCCTCTGCCAGCTGTGCAGCCTCCACCGCCTGCAGCGGGAAAGGAAGCAATAAAAAAAAAAAAAAACCTTAATGATGAGATTCCTGAGCTGTAATGTGGTGGTGCTGGTGGTACAGTGGGCATGAGTTTAACAACATTATGAATCTATTCTTTGCGCCTTGACTTATCCCATTTACTGCAGATTGTGTGTATTTTCCACCTCTAATGACAGCATTTTTCACAGCAGACAGAGTTGTTAGACCCTCCTCACAGAGTCCAGGCACTTGTAGTTAGATAAGTGGCCCCTTTCCTCTGTGTGTTGTGTTATTTTTTTTTCCTTTTATTACATTTGTTACTATTTATGAAAAAAAAAGGTCAAAAGTTGAAAGCATTCAAGCAATACATTCACGTAAGCGACAAGATGACCTCATTAAGTGTGTCTCGGTGCACTCCTCCACACATCTGCAGAACATGAGCAATGTTAGCAATTACCACAAGCATGTAACTCAACCAAGCGCTAGACCACGCAAAAAAAAATGTAAAGTCTGAGTATTTGCTGCTGGGTTTAATTTGTTAACAATGCAGTTGACTAATGCTGCATCTTGTGGCAGCGACCACATAAATCCTGAATATCAGAACTTGTCACAAGAAACTCAACACACCAGAACCTTTCTGCATATCAGTTCTGTACATGCACGGCTCACTATTTATTATTACGCTGCAGACGCCTGACAACAGTGAAATAATCACTGATTTGCAAACCTGAAGTTTAAGAGCCGACAGTATGATTGATGGCCCTTCTCACCTTTCTCTTGTTGAGTTCTAGTGCTTGTGTTCTGACAGCCAGCTCTTTTTCCAGAGCAGCCAGCGTGCTCTGTAGGACTCCCTCTTTTTCTTCTAGCTTTTGCACAACCAGCAGCTGGGCATCGACCTGCAACAGACAGCAACGGTGAACACCTATCGCTTCATCGCCCCCGACTCAATGAGAACCATCGGTGCTGCGTTTTCCGGTTGAGAATTTACACCTCACCTGGGTTTTGAATGTAAGAACTTGGTCAGCCAGCTCCTCCTTTTCCTCTTTCAGCAGCTTGTAGATCTGGTTAGATTTGATTCGCTCACTCATCAGCTTGAAATTGGCATCGTCCTTCTCTCGCAACTGCTGCAACAGCCGGCTGTTCTGCTCCTGCATGTCCTCGAAGGCCTGGCCTGTTACGTCCATCTCACTCAGCAGGGCTTCCTCCTCCTCAAAAGACACACGTGTGAGTGATTTAAAAACTATGAAAAGTCTCTGACAGTCAGCATGGTGCTTCTTCTCCAGCTTACAAAACCAGTGAGGCCTCAAACATGTATGTGTTCTGTGTATGATATGTTTGACTTCTAAGTTAAGTCTATGGTTTTATTGTCAGATTTAACTGGAAAAGCTTCACATAACTCAAAGATTTAAAAAATTCCATATTTATCCTACATTGGCCGTTTATGTAGCCCCTCTCTCCCTTTTAGCTACGATGTCGTTTTAAAACCCCTTCCTAAATCTTTTGATTGGCCAACGCCTGGAAGCCTGCTGGCGGTCAGCACCCGTCGATTGTGAGCTGTGCTGTCTGTATTTTGCACTGTGCCTGTAGCAGAAAGTCATATAAAGAAACCTGTGACCAGCTGAGATCAGTTCAATGCAAAAGTAGAAAAAAATGTTGGAGTATTCAGAGCAATCTGAGCTTTTGATTTACAGAGATTATTTTTCTATAAGTTTACCATATTAGTTTGAGGTTTGGTGACGTTTAATATAAACAGCCGTCTTTTTAATAATATATAAATGTGACAGAAAATAAGGAACAGCTT